AGAACAGGGCGTGTCTAATTAAGTTCTAACAGACTATCGTTCTTTCGTGTAACGTCGCTGAGTTCCACAGTGTCACACTTTGGCCGTTCACATTATCCTTACTTGAAGGATGTTTACCTACCATTTCCATGATTACCTTAATTATTTCTCTATGCGTTAATGTCGTTAATGTCCATGGCTTCTGTATGTCCTAAAGAGCATTGAATCAATTGCGTGTGTCCATATACGGGCGCTCAGGCTCGTTCGTATGTTTCCAAATTTGCGCCAAATTATTTGTAAGAATGTTCCCTTGCCTCTAGGGGCCTCGCATAACACCTGAATCAAATTACTGTGTCCGGTGGAACATGATAATAGGAATATTGGCAAAATATTTGCTTAAACAAATGCCTACGGGTCGAGGTATGGTCGATGCACACAGATTTTACTATTTACTAATATGATAGCTGCCTTTGGAATTCCTAAGTTGTCTATTTCTGCCAGTTTATTATCCACTCTTTGTGATTCTTCTTGTTACGAACGGCAAGTGTTGACTGGCGATAGACATTGCTCCACTTGTATCAATATTAGGACAGTATGCGCCCTACCGTGCCACGCCTCGTAGCATACCTTAGCGTTGGCATAAATCGATGTTTGGCGGCTGCTATGATAATGACCCCTTTACATGTGGCAATTTGTAAACTTGAACAATCAGCAGAGAAGGTTCGTTTCCAGTTCCGTGCGACTCGTGACTCTTAGTGGCATAAATTTAAAAAAAAACAAGTTCCGTAGTCACGTGAGAGATTGTTCAAATATTTCTTGGACGACGATGTAGCTGCGCTTTTACTTGCATCTGAGTTAGCAAACAAACTGACATAGTTCGATAGACGGATGGTTTAGGGCAACAGCGGTGAAAGTGGATCAGGTGTTCGAACGATTTTGCGTAGTTGTCTGTCATGACCAGTCGCTGATCGAATCATCTGACCTGATGGCTCGTCAGTTATGATTCATTAATGCTTTAACCGATGACAATATTTTGCACTTGGTTTACAGCAAGTATCGCTGGCTGGCACCGTTTGTTTGTTGGTTTGTCTCATTGACCCCAGTGTTCACGATCAAAGCACATTTCATCCCCATGTGCTTGTGTGCCTTGTGTGGCACGACTGTCTCTTCGACCCGAAGGGAGAAGCGGTCATGGCAGATGAAGATAAAGACGAACGTCAAATTCTTGCTTTCCGACGCATCCGGATGACTCAAATGGAATGAGAACCATCCGCTGCTTTGTCCTCGAAGCTGATCACATAGCTGAGTCATGCAAAGCATGTTTGAATACGATCAGCTGCTTCGCATTCCTCATCGTTTGCCTTCTGGCCATCTGTTTCGTCCTCTCCCCTAAAGTGATTTAGCAAAGCGAGTGGCGACCGGAGGCGAGAAATACTACAAATTGCCACCTCGAGGGCGGGCGGATGACTGGCGAGTTTGTCAACGCCGCTCTCTGCGTTCCGGTTCAATGACGGACGAATCAGCGACCGTCAGCTGAATCTGCATCGTCTATCATCGGAGTCCCTAACAGCTCGATTCCGTGAGATGTGATTCTAGCGCGAGTTTTTCGATGAGGTAAAAAATCCGCCCGCCTAGTGATTCAAGTTCGTTCGTCGCAGGTGGTGCGGCTCAGTGAGCGTAAACGATGATACTTGATGATGGCGATTCATAGGAGAAACAGGCTGTGTGACTAAGCATACCCTGGCACCAAATGCGTTTTGGAGTGGCGTTCTGAAATTAGGCAATTCAGTGTCCCCCTGTCCTAGAACGACATGATCCACCACCTGACGGAGAATTTTCTGTCTAAGAAAGATTATTGAGCCGACGAGTGGTGCAGACCGAAAAATGCTGTCCACCGTTCTTCTGCCGAAAATGTGTATGATGTCAAGTAAACTTTTATTGCATGACTTTCAAAACTGTTCTCGATTCTGGGCCTGGAATTTTATGAATATGCAACTTGTTGACTCATAATGTCAACTCATTTTCAATTTTACTTGGATCGCTGGAATCATGAACCTACAAATTATATATTCATAAAATTTTTATGTTCAGTTTTGTGTAAGAAGTAAGCATTTTAGAGTGGCGGGGTTCCCTTTCTGCTAATTTTCGCATTGACTAAGCAAGATTGAGGTGGATCAGCGCGACCTGCAGTCTTTTGAGGCCCTCACATTAGACAGCATGGCCGTACCTATCGTCCATTCTGATGACACCACGCTGTTCTAGTTGTTATGAAGTTAAGTTAGGTCAACGACTTGCTAGCCGCTATTCAGCTGGTTGTATCGAAGCAACGTGAGGTAAATTATTTGTTCAGATGAATTCGTGCTTACGCCAATAGTCGTCCCTTCTCCGGATTCAAACCCGCCTCTCCGGTGTTAGATATCGACCTCTTTCATAAACACTGTTCTACTCGCCACTGGCAATTGTGATCGAAGACAACTGGCAATAATTAAAGAATCTGGGGAAGGCAAGAGGTTCTCTAACAGATATCTAATCTAAGTCCCCGTCAACACGCTAAACGCTTAATGGATATCAATTACCACCGAAGATATGGCTGTGTAATTG